GGCAATAAAATGAAGTACTGACACAGGCTACGACATGGATGAACCTTGAAAATACCACACTTGGCGAGCAGAGCCAGTTACAAAGGCCACATATTCTACAAATGTATCGATATGAAATGTCTAGAATAAGGAAACCTATAGAGACAGAAAGTAGTATTTCCTAGGGCTGGAGGAAGTGGGACAGGAAGTGACTGGTAACGGGCATGGGGCTCCTTTTGAGGGTGATGAAAATGTTCTGAATTAGATGGAGGAGATGAGTGCACAGCTCTGAGTGCACTAAAAACCACTGAACTGTACACTTAGAAATGGTGAGTTCTATAATATATAAATTATATCTCAATAAAACTGTTCTTAGCAAATGAGGAAGCAGATGAAAGAGCTTTAAAAGTTATGAACTGTTCTTGTACATCAGTGCAACCTCGGGGCCCTCAGAATAGGGCAGAATACTCAAAAGAGGATTTATACATGAAGAAAGCAATATCCCTTCTTTGTTCCAAAGAGATGGCAGCAAAAGCCACTTCCCTAAAGTACTTAGCTCACAGATCCTAACATATGTGGTTTCTTCATATTTTTTTCCTTTCAAGAAGAAATATTTCATGATTGATCACAAAGGAAATACACAACTGGGGGAACGGTGGATGGATAGGACCAATCACCATTTATCTTTACAAAATCCACGTATGAGGCCAAATATGAGCTTCTCATTTTGAGATAATGTGTAAAAGGCAAGTGAGGGCCGGGGTATGCAGGCTATCATAAGGGACCCCACCCTGCCCTTCCGTAACTCATCGATTCTGCCAGTGTCACCAGGGAAACTAAACTTGACCAGCCACAGGCTTAGCAGGGCAGGTCTTACATTCCCAAAGAGCAACGCTCCATTACCTGTCGGGGCCTTGGTGTCGGCCTTCTAATCTGAACTGTCAAGTCAACATATTACCTCAAAAATGCAAAAACAGAGCCCCTTCGGAGCAAGTCCTCAGGTGAAAGGACTGCCTTCCTTGCCCTTGTCTACACCCCCAGTTATGGCGAAGACTCTCTCCTGACACACACGAAGGCTTCTCTGTCCAGGTCCCTCACAGTACCTGTCGGGGCCTTGGTGTCGGCCTTCCTGCTCTCCCGGTCCCCCTTCTCGGCCCACACGTGGACCGTGTACTCCACGCCCGGCCTCAGGCCCGTCAGGACGGTGCTGCTCTGTTCCTTCCCCACAGGAACCTCCCTGGTGTCTCCGTCGGGGGAGGTGTAGCGCACCATGTACCTGTCAATCACGGCCTGCACCGGGTCCCAGGAGACAGTGGCCGTGGTCTCCGTCACCTGGTCGGTCACCAGGTTTTGGGGACTGTCAATGTCTGGAAGAAAAAATGTTTATCTATACACACTACTAATGGACCATTAATACGAAAGTACTGAACCTTGTGGCCATTTTGCTTGGGGTGAGACCCTTTCACGTTTTGTGGTTTTTCCATCTTGTATGTTCTAACTGCTTCATGGACATATGTCTTCTCTCCCCAGATTGACTTTGGCTCTTCAAGGAGAAAGCACAGTGGACCAAAATCTGAACATCCACACTATTTCCTCTACCAAGATTTAGCAAAACACATCTCTATTCATTTAGTAAGCGTACGCTGAACTCCCGCTGTGTACCAGGCAGAGCTGGGCGGTGTGCGGGCTCCAGCTGAAGAAGACACAGACCTTGTTCACAAGCAGCTAATAATATTGTCTTTAGCATGACGCCAATGAAGACCTCCCATTTCATGCAAGAAGATTCTAGCAGCCAGGTGCAAATGTAAGCTCCTAGAAGAGGGGGCTATGTCCTACACCCCCAGGGGTCCCCGCTGCCTAGCAGAGGACCTGGCAAATTGAAAGTGCTCAACACATGTTATTAAATGAATCAGCAAAAATGAAAACCTGGTTTTAACGTTCGTCACAACATCACAGATTCGCTTGTAATACTGGTCTGCTGGTTAAATCACCATACAGAGATATATGGTCACACATCTATTTCGCAATAAGATCAGAGTATAACACAGAAGTTATCCTTATCCTCAAAAGCAGAATTATCATGAGTCATTCATAGTAAAGCAAACCACAGACATCTACTTTCTCTGGTGGATGTAAAGTTTACTTTTACGAAGGTCAATTTTCCACAGAGCATTATTAGTATTAATGTCATTCGGTTTTCATTTTCTGTTCCCACTCACAAACTCAGCAGAAGACCCTCAACACTGTCCACAAGAAGAGATTCATGTACTCAGAGGAACAGGGGCTCGACATGACCATCCAATCGTGGCAAAATCGTAGCTTGCAGATGGCATGAGGACCTGACTCATAAGGAAACCAGTTAAAGCCAAGTGAGGGCCGGGGTATGCAGGCTATCATAAGGGACCCCACCTTGCCCTTCCATAACTCATCGATTCTGCCAGTGTCACCACAGGGAAACTAAACTTGACCAGCCATAGGCTTAGCAGGGCAGGTCTTCATTCCCAAA